GAGACAAGGTATCTATAGGAGGATTCAGCACCTCCAGCAGAAGTATTAATCTTATCGTATATATATAAGACACAAACTTATAAAAAAAAACAAAATGAGGAATACGTATGCTCACTAGGCATATTAAAACCATAAATGGAAAGCGGCCAGGTTTTTTTTATCACCCAGGCTCAACTTGTACATATTGTAAAATCATACAATGCGCCAAATGTATTTCGTTTCATTTCTCTCCTGTTGTGTTTGTAAACAGGAAAAGACTAGCAGGCTATCGAGCGATATATATAGTAGCGACTGCTATAATAGAACGCTGCATTTTGAGACGACGTTTATTTGTTGTAAGAACTTACTATCGAAACACATAGTCGATTACAATGATGCCCTGCAAGCGTCGTTCTGAAAGCAGATGACGCTTGTCGCTGACGAAAATAGCACTGGGGCTATTGTTCAATAAACTCGAACAGCCTGATCCACTTGCAGATAAAATGAGACTAGGGGAGCCACAAACTAGGCAAGTAAGTCACAATATCGCTGCATAAGAAAACAGTGTGCCTGCCGACCCATCGAACTCAACACGACATTCTGCTTCACGATGTGACCCGTATAGCAAAGGTTGCATCTACCTGTGGATCGAAACAAAAGCAGTGGATATAAATCATCTTTGATTTGACCAAGGTGGGGAATCCACACAAATCAAATTCACACTGTTTGAAATCATGTCCGTACGCCGACTAATTTTGACGTATAACAGTGACATAGAGTGGCCCGCCTGGGCTTATAATATCATACTTTTCGATTATTTTTTCTGTGGGGAAAGTGCTATGTGAAAGACAGTAGTTATCAAACAGCGCCGGAAACAATTCACGACCTGACCGACTGGGTTCGTGAAATTGACGCCGAAATATGCAGGACTGCGATTTAAAATTTCGCAAATCAATTTATCAAGCGGCCTCTAGAAGGACACTTGACCGACATTCTCCATGTGTAATGCAAATTAGATGTTCTAGCTTCGTTCAACGCGAGAATAAAAGCAAGTAACAACAACCAAAATTATAGAGGATTAGTTTCGAATTTTAGATTATTTTACATTTTGAATCATATAATCTGCTATAAGTCGTTTGTAATGTTGGCGAACTTGGGGAGCTCAGGGAATTTCCAAACGGATTTTTCGTAACTCTTAAATCTCGATAAGAAATGGTAAGTAAACCAGTCACCAACTGGTTCATTTTAGTTTGTAAGCTTTATTTTTCGGGAAGTAATACAGCGAAGTACGAACTTCGTTGACTGTAACTTCGTTATAAGATGTTATTCATTTTTGCTACCTCATCTACAAGCCCAAATAGTGGAACTTGCCTATGGGTTTATTCATGCTTTTATTTGTTCAGTTAGTCGCAAAGCAGTTGGCAACATCCACTTACATGCTCTAATGCAAGGATATGACAGATCAATGGGTGTCAATTCCTTACATGTATTATCGAAACTAAATGGGTCATATTTAGCTTAGACATGGTCTCCGTGAACCTAACAAGTTCGTCTGCACATCCACCCATGCACTACACACAACAATGAATTAACAAGTCTCTATCTCATCAATAGTAATGAGAATTAATTCCACGGTAAGAAATTTATACTACCTAAGCATTGAAGTCCTATGGTCATTTTAGACAATATAGACACCGCGGTGGTGTAGATATCGTTCACTTGTTAACAAAATCTCGAATTTTAATTAACTAGATAAATATGAACATCAACTGAATTGAAGGCCTTTGAACATAAAATATCAATCCGTCCTGGGCGTTTATTTCAAAGAACTAGGTCTTTGTTTCGGAATTACACACATGTTAGCTGGATGACGAATACTGAGGTTATGAGAACTGAATTTGACTTCAATATACCCGGTTACATGTTAGAAACAAGCCGTAGCTCAATTTCATTTTTAGATATTTCAAAGATCCACATGACGTATTGTAAAAACCTTTCTTTCAAAGCATTTGTAAATAAATTACTGTTGTTTTTCTTTGCCAAACCGGCAAATTGATAGAAAAATTGTAAAAAAAAGAAAAAGCGTATGTATATACCTTTGAAGCTACTTGGAATGATCGAAGGACGATTATAAACGCCTACTGGTATTCAGCCTACAATTTATAATAATGATAAAGCTCGATGATTAGATTCAACAAAGACGTGAAATGTATTTTTTATAATAAACGCTGTAGCAAAAAGAAATATTGGCTACTGAACCAACACCCCATTTAAATCCGTCCTTACGAACCCCACAGATGGTGTGCTCGTGTCTAGGGGGTCCAGTTCATCAGGCAACGAAGGACGCCGCCTGGTCGGTCCACTTGTTAATTGCGGGTATTCAGCTTCTTCTTCAACGAAACCGTCCTCGGAATACCTACGACGACGATGATTTCGTGCTGCGTCACCGATAATAAATCCATAAACGTCGGTGAGTGTGGCCATCCTGCAAAATATATAGCCGTTATGGTTAACTTTTTGCTGTTGTAATACTGGAATGGACGCAATGGTAAAGTTATAAATAAGGTACCTTTATTGTGTTTAGGTTTAACGAAGTTATCTATCGTTGCATACACTTCATTATTACCTTAAATTGAAAAGTGCATTTTTGAATCGTCGGGTTACTATTATGAAAATGGGGTGCTATGTTAGCCTGTAATTCCTGATATTCCACACGATTCCCGCATAAACTCGAACAGATTTAACTGATAATTTTCTTCAACGGCAAGTTCCGAATAAGCATTTAATTGACTTACTAATGTGTCCACTTAAGATTAATAATACGGCTAATGTCGTTAGCTGGCGTTTTTCCAGACGTGTAGTTTCCAACAATCAAAGAACCACGGCCACGTGTCGATTTGTTAAGCATCCTTGCTTACACCCTAAATACCCTCATCCGCAGCCATAATGTTATGAAATGGAGATTACTATGCTTAGCTATGAATGAGATACGCTGGTATGCTTAATCTGTGAGCAGTATATATTGTTTTTGTAGACGGAAATTGCGAACTCAAAAATAGTACTGGATTATAGGCATGTCTTGCCTAGTCAATATTTCAACCTGTCTGAACATTGCGGCATATCTATCCAGCGAATCAGATAAAGCCTCAAGCCTTTCGGCTTACACTTCGGTGAGAATCATAGTTAAGGCGCACCTTAATAGTCTAGCTGACCTAGTAGATAGTTTTCCTATTTCTAACTACCGCTAAAAGTTCTGCAGTTGGTTATTTGTTGATTTGTTTCACGTGACGATAGCGGAACATGCAGCGTATCCGCTCATGGGTAATTACTTCTTATAGTAATAAAAAAGCTACTTCTTTACAACACCATAAATGCTATCGGTTTTTCTAGCATGCCAAAAACTGAGCCACGATACGTAAAAATAAACCGAGCGTAAAGTTATGACAATCCTTAACGAATAATAATAGCTCAGAAACTGCTATACTATTACTTTGCATTGAATTTGTACAACAATACGTTCGCGCACCACGCGGTGTTAGGCAGATCCCTATTGAATTCGATACTAATATACACACTATATGAAAACATGAATACAGGCACTTGCGTCTTCACTGTTAACTGTAACATTCATTGATTACTACTGATAAAAAATTGATATCGCCATGCATATAAGATGTAATTAAAAGGACATCTTTAAGAAACACTAAGTGTTCAGCAAATCGTTTTCACGCTGCAAAAACTTACTAGAGCTCCAGATTTGAATACTCTATACGCTATAGCGAGAAATAGCTCCAGGTATTTAGCTTGCGCACTGATCGCTACTTTCTAGTGACTTGGCCGTTACAAGCATAGCTATTATCTGGACCTATTAATATGAACTATAAACTTCACCCTTCTGCGCCTTAAATGCGCAACCCATTCACATACGTACTTTGTTTCATCAAAGTCGATGAGAATCTGTGGAATATATAGGTAACACCTGACGAAGTTTCGTTTCCTTATTGTCCATGTGGGATCACATTCAAGTTAAAAGTGACACCATCAACGAGTCATTTGTATTAATTAGATTTAATGCTATAATATTCAGCCTTCAGTAGTCTTGTTCTTTAACATTACGCACCCCTGATTGGCTTCCCCGGCAATCGTCTGTTAATATCAAGTTAAAACATACACAACGGTTACCCAATCATTGCATTGTGATTTCATTTGTCCAGAACTGTTAGCTTTATCTTACAGAAGAGACACAGACCGTAAGGCCAAGAAATCACGTTGTAACACACAACAATAAGCAACAGCAACTACAGTCCTTCCTTGGTCAGCTGAACATGATCCCTGATAGACGACGGCATTAAATGATTGCCACCCAATCCTCAAATAGGAGCAATAAAGAGAAAAGGTAATAACTCAACTGCTGTTTATGGATATGGCTCACTGTGTCGACAAACTTCAACTGGAATAGAAGACATTAGAAAAAGAATCATTTAGCTTATACCAGGAAATGTTGCTTTAAGTGAAACAGATTAACAAACACACTTACTACGACAGTGAAGTTACCTTTGCTGGGTTCTTGAACGTATCTAGAATAGACTCCCTTTATGCAGAACCACCGTTCCACACTTTCCAAACACTTTCTTCAAACCGCTCGCTTTAAACACTTTTCCACGCTGTCCATTTGTAACACACTTTGAGAAACAACAATTTGTATTCTTGTCGGGTTGAGCGATTGTTGAACTAGAATCATCTGGTCATCTTATGTCTGCTGGTTATTGCGAAACGCTGATCAAATTGGCCCTATGTAAAACAAACTCCATTTGACAGTGTAACATTTAAATATATTAGGCCGCAAATATATTGTAACAGATCTATACCTTACTGTTCGATAAAGGTCGTATAGTTCACAACATTCGCGACTGTTTCTAAACGTAGCCTGCCAATTCCAGGTCTTTAATCGTCGGAACTGAATGGGACACTGCATCGTTGCACGTGCAAGGAACACAGACAGTAGTTTTGGCGCAGTTTAGATTTTGAATAAGAATTTCAAGAAATAAGCCGTGTGTGTTCGTGTGCTTGCGTACAGCCCCGGATAGTTTAGGTGTCTTATTTAGCCGTTAATAGATATACGAAAAAGTAGTTACAACGATATACGCTATTACAAGGGCTGTTGTTTTTTGTTTGGGACGTTCGTCTGCGCTTCATCACCTATTTATTATAGAATATAATGTTTTCTATATGCGGTTATGCTTTTACACAACGACTTCAATAGAGGTTGCTGAAAAGACTCACTGAACACTTAAATATTTCAACCCATTACGTTAATGAAAAAAAATCAGCGTTTTAACGCTTAAATATATCAGACTTTAGATCTATTAAATTTTTTTTTAAGTAGATAAAAACCTTGTACCTATTGTAGACAAAACTAGTTTTATTTTTTCATAGGTCGTCGACTTATAACTATTATCCCGAATTACATTAACCTATTAAGAAAGGCGCTTATGCATTTCTGTGACGAGGCCTTCGATGAAAATCAGCCCGGCCCTTTCGACTCCAGAAAAATGCTCCTCGATCTTGTTTTACCCCCCATATTCGTCTAGTCGTCAGCGATTTTATGTTGTATCCACTTTGTGTACTCCTTCAATTTTATCTATAACGTTGTGCAACGGAATTATGTATATCATTACGCAAATCACTTACTCGCGAATGTACTTTTAAAATCCTCAGAAACAGAAGATTAGAAGCATTTTAAAAGTTCAAACGCTTTTTTTGTACTTACACTCAAACATATCCAAGCTTATACGATAATTTACATAAAATTCATCCACAAAAACAGTATCCCGGATGCCATCAGGAACACGAAGGGGCCGCGGAGCTTCTCGAGGGGCCGGCGGATCAAAGAAACGCGGCAAAGGTGGCCGAACCCGCATCAGGCTTGATCGTAGAACGTTCGACGAGGATGGTGAAACACCACGCGTTCTCAACTCCTTTACCGAGGTTTCTTCTGGAACATCATCTCCTTCAGATAGCGAACAAAGTGATGAAGCTGTCGTAGAGTGCCCATTCCCTGTTGCGATGTGGGATTTGGGCCATTGTGATCCAAAAAGATGTACTGGTAAATGTTATCGGTGTCTTAACGTGCATTGTGTATAACGTAATACATCACAGCTGTATTTGCAAACGAGTATTTCTAAGTAAGGTTCACCGAAGCATATCTAAACATCGTTGAACGAGCCTAGTATGCTTTTCATTACCAGCGTTTCTTTTAATGAGAACGTATAATTTGTTTGTGTTCAACGTATCGATTACAGGACGTAAGCTGGCACGCATGAGACTTATAAAGGATCTTAGACTTGGTCAACGTTTCAACGGTATCATTCTTACCCCGTCAGCGAGTAAGTGCGTCTCCCCGGAAGACAGCAGGATCATTGCGCAATATGGCGTTGCCGTAGTGGATTGCTCTTGGGCACGACTAAACGAGGCGCCTTTCTCGAAAATGAAAGGTATGAATGCGTCTAGCAGGTGAAGTTCAGTATTTCCTCTATATTAATGCTTTAATGAATACGCAGCGCCTTATAGTAAAAATAAGAATTATTATTATTGCTGTAGTCACGAATTATCTATGATTTGTGTGTTATGGTGGTAAAATTACATGAATTTTCTGCATTACTTCGATTATTTCGTTAACAATTTCCGTATATTTGATAGGAAACCACCCTCGCCTTTTACCCTTCCTTGTGGCAGCCAACCCGGTCAACTACGGCAAACCCTGCGAGCTTTCTTGTGTAGAAGCTATTGCGGCCGTCATGTATTTGACTGGATTCTCTACGATAGCCGATTGGTACCTCAGTAAATTCTCATGGGGTCATTCATTTTCTGAACTTAACGAGGACCTATTGACGGCGTACGCCGAGTGTCGAACGTCCGCCGACCTCATTCGTGCTCAAACGGATTTTCTTGCCGAAAACGGTGACAGACATGATAATAAAATGATTGAATTGCCTCCCTCAGCCAGCGAAACGGAAAGTGCAGATGAAAACGGCGAGGCTCCTGTGGTAGGCTGTGATGACAAAAGGGATCTCCTCTCTAATGATGGCGATAAACAGAAAAAGGTGGAAGAGGTTAAGGACTCGAAAAGAGCAAAATGTGGCGGACCGTCTAATTATGATCATGTCAGATGACGAAAATTATGATGGTGATTAGTTTTGTATTTGTAATAAATCCATATGATTTCTAAATGCCGAACCGTCTGTTTAATGTTCCCCTGTCACCTGATCGCGGCCAACGTACTTGAATTTAATTGATTAGTTTGTTAACGCTAAATCTGCCGACACTTCTTGTCACTGAACCCGATCAAAACAAACAACTTAAAAAGAAATTATTATCATTATAATTAACTGTATATTCTCGATGGTATACAGTTTAACGGCAATGAAGTAACGTTTAATTATATAAACTTGTAAAAAGTTTCCAAGGATTGAATTGATGCGGTAGTGGTAGATCAAATATCATTGATTCCTTGATAGCTGTCCTTTGCAAACACGCCTTAATATAAAATTCATTTATTTCTATAATCTTCTTCATGTATGTTATCAATGCATTTTATTTTTAGATCATCTATACATAAACTCTCTGAACAATTTCTCTGAACTCCGCGTTGACTGAAATGGACGCTGCGCACGGTGAAACAAGTGCCCCAGTTTGTAGAATACTGAAGGAGAATCTACTTCTGTAGATAAACTTTACTGTAGACAATTCGTTTTTGTGATTTACCTAGCTTAAGTGGGAACATTTCTGAAAAAACTAAACACACTGCGGCGAAGCCCATGCAAACTCTTTTTGCTTGAACAGAGCTACATAAGCATAAACTTAGATAAAACATAAGGCAAAAGTAGTAAGCATAAACTAAACGTTAGTGTTAAGAAGTTACGCTAGTCGTCAAAACTTTCATTTTTTCCTCGGCAAGCATTTATTAACCAGCATCATGCAGTAACAGAAAAAGTGTTTTAATACCAGTTCTTCATACAAAATTCGGTATGTAGTAACAAGGGACCTTCAGTCCTTAAGCAAAAACAGCGCCGCTTTAGTAGTAATAATTCAATAACAATAAATATATATAGATATACATTTATTCATTTTGCTTGTACAAAAATAACAGTTGTTTCAAATATGAACACAACTTTATCTATTATCATGTAGCAGAACTGAAGGCTTCACCTTTAGAGTACAATTATAGATCAATTTGGCTGAATAAGAATACTAAAGAAATAATCAACGTACGACTCTCTTGGGGCCTAATAAAGGTAGAGAGTTGTTACCATTAATTGTAAAATGACATGTTGTGTAGAATGAACTCCTGTGGGCGTTGTTTATTAGGGGCCCTATCACAATGATTACAATTATTTTGTATTGATAAATTACAGTAATTTACTACAGTTGCTCGTGTTTGTGACTATTTGTCTTGATTATGATTATAGTTATCCTCATTATATGATATTGTTCTCGGCGTACAGCATCCACAAAGGGTTGTAATTCCCTATTTATGTTATGTGCTCTGATCGTACTTACTTCAACTTAAACAACTTTCCTAACAGAAAGCGTTATCTTTGTCGTCGAACCAAGTAAGTATAACTAGTAAAGTTTGAGATTCCTTATAGTCATAAGTACCGACGCCGTGAACACAGCGAGATGTTCACATTCCAGCACGCGACACATACATACATACGTACACATACAACACATACAAACATGCGCATAAATACATGTGCGAGAAATTCCATTCACCCAGAAGTACATACGTTGTCTAGGTGGTGACTACGAAAACGTCCTTATCATTTCAGTAGAGTTTCTATGCGAGGATCATTTACATAGATTTCATTACTGGTAAAAGTGGATGCGCCATCATTAGTTACGGCCGAAATTCATTATAATACGTAAAAGCAATATTTAATAAAAATAATCGTAGGCCCTTTTTACACCCTGCTTATATGAATAGCGCACGTTAACCTCGTTTTCGCGAAAACAATTCGCTAAACTTTGTAAAACAAGTTTTCATCCAACGGCAGCCTGCAGAGGGATAACAACCATTATTTTAATTAGAATCCTCTCTGCTTTTGTGCAGCGACAAATTCCGGGTAGTCTATATAGCCGTCTCGGTTCGTGTCATCCATGTCCAGGATTGGATCAATCATTTGTTGCAACTCTATATCGTTGAAAATTTTTGTCGTAGCGTGCCCGTTTACTCCACCAGGACCTGCCTGGCCCGTAGCAGGGTTTCCCTGGGTGGCCTGAAATGGTGTTAATATGACCTTGAATAAATGATTGAATCTATCAATAAACATTCTGCTTTCATAAAGACAGAACCTTCAATAAATTTAATATATGATATGAACTATATGCAAAGTATTGCTCTACCTGTTGTCTACAGCCCTGAAACAGGATCACGACACATTGAATTGAAAGCTAAGCTTTACTCAGAGGTATGTTTAAATATTTAGGTTAAGTTTCTGACAGTACCCATCTCTACATGTAATCTGGGGCAGCAAAAGTATGTAGAGCAATTTGCTTATTCAGAATTAATCGGTTAAACCATTTTAAGACCAAACTGCACGTTAGGTGAATACAGACAGTTCATTTTTGCGTTTGTTTTTTTTTATTTAACTTATACCAGCTTTTCCACTGTGTTTGTCACCAGCAATTTCGTTTAATTTTCTCTATTTGTAGCTTATTGAATAATCATTGACCGATGGCAATGTTACTTTGTGCTACTAGTTCGTGTGTTATTACTACCTGTAAGTGCTTATGCTCCTCCACATGCCAGTGGATTAGGGATTTGACGAGTTCGAGTCCATCGAGTCTGTTATTGTCGTCATTGTCATGGAGTTTGAAATAGTGAAATTGAAGTTCCTCTTCCGTCATTTTTGATAGGTCCTGCTTGTCGCCTGAAGGAATACAGGTAAATAAAAAATTGGAGATGCAATGTAATCATAAGGCACCGTATTTGGAATTGTCTATACGCTATCCTCTACCAGCTTTGGTGTAAGTTCACACGCTGTATAAAAGCTTAAGTACTCATTTGAACAATTAAATATTGAGTGATTAAATTTTCATTCTGTAACCATAAAAAGAACGATTGCTTCGTCTGCATTTTAAGTACTTCAAACCACGAAGCAGCTAAGAATACTTCGGTATTATTATGTGCAAATTTACAAACAGAAGAGTAAGAGAATATTTACCGAGAATTTCTTGCAGGTGTTCTTGGATATGCTCCCTATCTTGTATTTGGGTTTTATCTCTTAGCATATTCCCACCCTGTGAAACATGACCGCCAAGTTGTGGGTGACCCATGTGCGGTGCGGCGCCGTACGCTCCTGCCGGATGATTAACTTGCTGAACCATCTGTCCGGATTGCATTCCGAACGCTTGCTGAGGTTGGTTCAGGTGCGCTTGACAAAGCGTCCACAAAGACATTAAAACAGCTGTGATACACTGTCTGGAACTCATTGCGCTCGAAGGTTAGGCACGCACGACAAAATAATATTAGTTATTCTTCACTCTTGCAGTCACACACACACACGCACGCGCACTGCGATAATAATTTTCCTAACCTACAATTTACTCATTAGAAGGCGCTGCTAAACGATCAGTTTAATGCTCAGCTATCCAATGGCATGAATACCTAAAAACAATGCTGTGTTACAGGTGGTAAAATCGGCAAAAAGCAGACGTGGACCTGGCGTCTGCCAACCCAACTAAATGAAGAACTGCCTAGGGACTAAACTGAAGACTAAATGAAAGGGCGAGCGGTCAGCCACAACAGAAAACTTCACGCGCATAAGAAATATCATAAAAATGACGTTTTGCCGATACCGCGTCAAAAATATTTGGGTAAATTAGTGCAATAACTGGGGCAGTGTATAATACCTGAGTACGCTAGTAACAGGTTACTACGTGGGCGTCAGTGATATAGGATGCCGTAGTCTTGTGTCCGAAGGTTTAATGGGTCACGAAACGAATTAAACCCGCCGAACTTACTTTGGGACCGCGACAACTATATTTCTAGCTTCGAAACAGATTCTTTTAGAGTTCCAGCGTAATTTGGACGTCATGTGCCATAAGAAAACGTGACCGTCTATAGAATGATATGAATCATTAATCAAAAATTTAGATTCGAGGCCTTCTGACCGTCGCTGAGTGAGTGAGATTGCAAAACAATTTGTGAAAATCGCTGAAAACAGTAGTTGTCAAGAATTCGAAAATACACACAACACATGATTTCGTTGCTCGTTGTACACTAATTTCGTGATTGACCAGTAGACATCAGTTAGGTAGATTCGCAAGTTGTTAGTGGCAGTCTAAATTAAGTGTCTGTCTTTTAAAAGCACAGATACATGCGAAGGTTACGTTTATATCCCTAAGCGGCAATAAGCCCAGCGGATTGCATCGTTTGTATTACCAGCTGGTAAGATCAAAACCCGTTATTTAAAACAAACCATGATACACAAGTTCTACGTTTTACAAATTTCAAATCTTAAACTAATAAGCGGTACTTCTCGATTTTCACAACAGGGTCCTCAACTGTTGTGTTATTTTCTGTGTAGCCAGTTCCGTTTTATGCAATAAATACGTCTGTCCGTTGCTTTTCTTTATTTTTAAAAGAAAATAGGAAGTCAGATCAATAAAAGTAATTTTAGACCCGTATAAATATTCGTTAATATAGTTTGTATTTTATTTTTTTTTCGTAGGGGTGTGTGATAATGCGACTTAACGATTATTACTCCCGTCTTCATAGAAGCGACAGGTGAGGTATCCTAAGTAAAGGTCATGCAATTGAAAAAGCCATACTACTTATTAGAAACGAAAGTATGGGAACCTTAACCTTACCTTGAAATTAGTTCAAGAGTTAGCTGAGTTGAATAAAAGAAGGTGGTTTAGTACCTTGATATAAGGCTCGATCAGGCCCTATCTGAAACCCCACTTGAGGAGTAGATTGTGGAAAAGGCTACCTTGGCCGCATAAAAGCTCAGCAGATTGATACAGGAAGTAGGAGGAACGTATGAAAAAAAGAAGAAGCTATTTGTCTTAGTGGTAGATTCCATAACTTTTTATGCTGCTACTTTCGAACAAAGGCTATAAAATTAATAAGGAATAAGGCCAGCTCAAAGGAAGCTTAGTGGGTGCTCACTTCGAATTAAAAAGCATTCCGAACTGCTTAGATCATAATTACTATGACTAGGTTTCTTAGGACATCATAAGCAAGGAGTGCGAAGAAATGTTCAACGATCAGATGCTTATACGAAGGGAAAACTAGAAAAAAGCAATCGACAAGTTGCGACAGAAGTGGGTAGGCTCAATCGTAATTGCTGCCTAGATTTTGCAGGCTAACACCGGAATCCAAAGACTGATACCCGAGGGATCTCACAAACTGACTTATCATTTGACCTAGGTCCTAACCGGCTATGAATGAAGACCCAATGAAGTAACCCATTTGAAGCTAACACCATGGTGGGTCGGATATTTCAGGGTGAGTAGAGCTGGACAATAATTCCCAAGTACTTGGTGAAGAATATGAGGCCCGAAGAAGATCAAAAACGAACACGACAGAAGGTTTGCATTTAATGAAAAAAAAATTTTCCCCCACAAAGTCGAAGTAATTAATTAAAACAGACATTGATAAGGGCCAGGATAAAAAACACTCGCTGAAGCCCCATATTACAGTCGCAAACACCTAGAAGCGAGACTGATCATCCATAAACGTAATTTACACTGTTATTTTTCAATAAAATGAAATTAGTTCAAATTAAACTTCAATAAGAAGCTTTATCTCAGATAGAAAGGAGTTCCATCTGGAGCACCTACATAGTTTGAGGACAATCTCACAATGATAGGTTGAGTCGTGTATGACGTTTGCATTCAATCAATTGAATCCTATGAACTATATTTACTCGAATATTTTCCATCTTTTCTAACTGATAAAATTAACCTACATAACAATACTATATTGACCAAAAAGCCGCTCGGTGACTTGTGGTTGAACCGTATTCAGATTTATTGTATATAGCAAAACTATTATCAAAGGGGCCATAGAGATCCAAAATAACTTAAAATGCCTCCTAGTTACATTATCTAGTACCAGTATTTAACGATAACGACAAGGAATATGTTAACCTATAAAGATAAGAATATAGTTTGCCGTTGCGAACAAGATGCCAGCAAAATACATGGTTATCTCGCGCTGCTAGAACTGCATCCACAATGTCAATTAAGAAAACTTAGGTGTAACTGTTAGTATTAGCATTTATTATATATATATGAGCCGTATCCTCTGCAGAAGTTACTCTCTTTTGTCCTTGTCGCTCTAAACTGAGAGCATCTTTCAGATGCCCAGGTGACCTGGATGTTTTTGTCTTTCCACTAAATTTCGTCGCCGCACACCACTCCGCTCGCTTTTTGACATTAAGGGAACGTATCATCATCCTCTTCAGCCAGCTCTTTCGCGTACTCCATATCCTGCTGCTCACGCTCACGTCGTTCCTCAGCTGCAACAATATCAGTTTATTATTCAATCAATTACATCAACCCTCAATTCAGCCTAGAAACTAATACGCATGAAACCATAACTCGTACAGTTTTCTAAGTGCGAGCAAACCGTAAACCTTGCACAAAATACTCTCTAAAGACTACTGCCAAATGATATCGATGAATCATTTACGAATAGCAAAGATTATAGGAAACATTAAAAAAAGACGAACTTACACAGGTAATCCTTACCGTAAACAAGTTTACGTTTTTCAATATTTTCATACGTACATCTCACGAAGATAGTCTACATGAACGCATATGAAGTCATATAATTGAAATTACTGGCACACGAAAAGCAGAGCACAAAACAGCACACGGTATTTGGAAATAATACACACTGATGGATACATTTTTTGGACACAACTAGTTTCTGCTGTAAATTCGCTACATTACACTACCCATAGCAAAAAAAGTTGCTAGAATCCTTACCGCTCTCAAGATCTTTATTATAGCTTTTTGGTGGAAACCGCATAGCTTTAATTGACTGATTATGGATGTCGAGACAGAATGAAATCCGTTGATCAAATTGGGACTGTGGCTCGCCTGTACAGTAGACGTCGATATTTTCGGCACTCTGCACATAACCCTTATCATGGTCGATGGTGGCCTCAATTACGCCATCTCGAATCGCTTTGGCTACTATAAATTCGGCATCCTCAGCGGAGCCTAGCTGCAGTTTTGCTGCGACATCAGCCAATGAGATCCGCTGGTACGAGAGGTTAATCATGCGCACTCCAGTTTTAATGACATTGTGCCGTAGTCGAATGATTAGGGTATAAGTGTGGTCGGCCTGGAACCGAGCTCCATAGCTCTCTAGAACCTGGTTGAATAGGCCGAGGTTTCCAGTTCGAACTGCCTGCGTCAATTGGAAGTAGGGCGCAAGACTTTTTCGTAGTGCAGGTTGACGGAACGTCGTACGATCAGGGATGTCACCAAGAAGAAGCTCGACTGTAACGGCGAGCTTGTAGACTGTCTGCTTGAAACCGAGGGCCGAATGTTGTGGCGCCTTACGAATAGCCTGAAGAAGATTTTTGTGAGCGTCGGTATAGTATAGCTGGATAGCCTTAATACAACCAAGGTAGTACAAATAACGGGCCCATTCATTATTCGACGCCATCTCTGGGAAGGTCACCTGATGAGGACAAAGGTTTCGACATACGCATTAAACATCGGTATTGAAATACTTCAAAAACACACAACTTTCAAAACTACTAATTGTTGGACATTACCAATGTTGTACATATGTGTACAAGTAGTCACTCCATGATATAATTAGCCGCCAATTAAAGATTGAGACTCTTACCTTGGACACAAGCTTAGCAGCTTGTTTGAATAGAGAGTAGTGGAGATAATTTCGCATCAAACAATTAATTAGAACAGCTTGACCCTCAAAGTCTGATCGAAGTGTGGCCGTCCGCAGACGCTTTAGTAGAAACCTATTTAGAAAAATAAAAGAGCTCAATCAGCTAGTGTATAGCACGGCTAAGTACAAAACTATATGTAAAACCACAGTACTTCTCTCAACTGTTACTTTTGTGATTGGATTGAACACCAGACAAACAAATACTTTTAAGATTCATAAAATCCACTAAACCCACCCGCGAATCGAAGATAGGTTTCCATCAAGTTCGTACACCCGGCTGTAGTAGAAGTATGTTTTGGCCGCCAACAGATCCATACTGCGGCGGGCGCTGTGTGCTTCTACTTTGCCTTTGAGAAGTTCTGCACAACGAATTGCGCGCTCCATGTTGGCGCTCTGGGCCTTCTCCAGGGCATCGATCATGTGGACCAGTAGAAGAAGGTGAAGGTAGACATCGACTTCTGGAAGTAGAGCTAGATGGGCACTCTTTTGCGATCGCATCCTGGAATTGTTTCGTACGATAAGAGGCACAAGGTTCAATATGGCGCATGTATGGGAAGAAACGTCCTACTTACAACACATTTTTGCCATTTAAGTCAGCTAGCTTCCCTTGTACAACTGAAATCACATATCTTCTTCTATGTTTACCGATTCTGGGCTGCGTCAGTGTCATCAGCATCCTCGGCATCAGACGCTACAAACGAAAGGAGCACTTCGCGATGCATCTTATCGTGCGTGTAGAACCCGTTAATTGTTTTACGTAGAAGCTTTGAATTTAACTTTTTACGTGTGGCTGGCAGAAGCCGAAGGATTCGTAGAATGAAACGAGATTCTTTCTGTGCAACGGCCTTCTGTATGTGCGCTGTGTGTTCCTTCAATTCTGCGAACATAAGAATATGATAGTAAGAAATGAAGCCATAAATTTAAACTATAGGCGGACGTATGTCATATTAATTTGCTTCAACTGTTAAACACGAAGGACACATACTGTTTAGATCGGCGTTTATAGTTCATTTACCTCTTACCTCCTATACCTATGCTAAATCGTTTAATTTTTAGCTGATTAATAACATAACCATTACTTATGCAGCGAGTGTAACGTATACCCCTTTTTTTGAGGTATAAATATATTGTCAATTTTGACGTCTGCTTACCATCGATAGTGGCTGCCTCTGCATCCTGCGTTTCCTCTGGAACCGATGCAGAATCCACTTCCATTGATTCAACCATGGTGATGACGACGCTTCACAAAAACTGCAAAGGGTTTAACAGGCGTTATACGATTAACCAGATATTTTAGTTCTCACATGTTTTTTCTAGTTTAGAATAGTCTACTAGTTTTTTTTACGCGCCATTTACGAGCCATTCGAAGACCTGCCCTTATTTAACTCACATATTAGTTGTTTCAAAAATGTAGACATTGTGAAACGAATGCTTTATTATGATGACGCATTTTTTTTTATTATAGAGATTCTGCTTTATTACAATATTTATTACGCGTATATTTAAATGCAGAAATCCTGTTTTAATATGTACGGTAATTATTTGTAGGCAGTTCTTTTACGCAATAGCTCATATCTTTATAAATATAACTAATCGCTCAAATTGTGTTTATATTTTGCCTAGAGTCATCAATGAAGCGCCACTTTATTTGAGGTAAATAGCAGTTGAGTTTCAGGCAGAACTACACTGCCTTCATGCTTAGAAACATTGTTAAAAGCTAGTCTTAAATTCACCAAATTAATGTTTGAACGCATTATGCATATAATTGTATTGTTTTCAACAAAAGAGTCAAAACAGATCATGAGCGTTGACTATCACCGCGCACTTCCTCAAGTACAGAATATTTGTGAATTTCCAAAAAGCCAAGTCCACCTTCTAGGATATTTGAAACATTGCAAGCCGGCGACAATACAGAATCTGGAAGTATAAGCTTAATTATTTGGCTCCCTGATAAACACGTCCATTAGTTGCCCAACTATTAAAAAACATTCTGGTGGTCTGGAGGAAAGGCCAAGGTAATACCTATCTTCCAAATACTATGAATTTGTCTAAGTCAATTAACGTTCACGAACATTGACATTAAAACATGTCGAAGCGACAGTTATACTGTACTTCATGAAAAAGTGGGTCGTTGACAAGCCGTTAATGCCGGTCGCACAAAAGGTCTCAACTATAGGTATGTACACGTAAAATGTATGCCAGCAACACATCGTGCTAGTTCGCGGTACCGAAAGTTGCTCCCTATGATAAAACTATGGCTTGAGCATCACCTCCATTCGTTACTTGAAACCAAAAACTTCTCCAGGGAGAGATAGCACAGAGTTCAAAGGATGCCTACCCGTGCCGATCATCTGGGACAAGTGACATTGGAGCTTGGCATTCGAAAACGAACATAAAATCGCTATTACAGAATTAGTTCGTTCCTAGACTACTCAAGAAGTCTGAGCGCAAAAGAAGACTCGTAGTTTATCCCAATCATGTATGCAGAAGAGCTTTACGGACAGTAGAAACTTACACTAATTTCTCACTGTAGAACACCGAAAATGTGCAATTCACCGAGCAAATGATAAAGCTGATCAGATGTTTTCAAAACATCGAAACCACTCAGCAGACGATGAGGTGGCAGTGGCAGCCGATACAGATAGGAAAAGCCGCTAGCAGCACTTTGGACGTTAAGGGACGCGCTGAATAACCACACAGCGGATTCAAGTATGACTAGCGGGGCTTTGACAGAAGCCGAACGCTGACTGTCGTTGAAACGACGGGAAGTCAAATTAAACAAAAGCGATCATTATTTAAAATAAGGAAAATAATTTGATATTTTTAAGACATAAATATCCTATTTACTTATATCAATCCTATTTAAGTTCTGCTTAAAAATTCAAAGGGTCGCTGGTTCAAGCCCTATCATCCACATATACTAGACAACATTTGCGATGAAATACGAAAAGTCTTAGACAAGTTCAATCCTCTATTTTGGAAAGTTTAATTCAACCTTTGGGAAATGCAGAAAGAAGTTTGTTAATCTCAAGGTGCTAATCGATATAACAACCCTGTTTCTTCATGAATATGTATGCAACTTGATGAATAGTTATTCGCTAACTATTCATGAAGTTGCATCATTAAGTAAAGCTTAATAAAAGACGCATCATAACTAAAAGATAAGTTTTAGTAACGAATGAATTTATTGAGTACTCGAGTATTTATTGACTTTTTGTAAACTTATTCAACTTGTCCACCCGTTCATTTATTCCCTCCCGTCAGAAGTTTTCAGGTTTGGTGTTGAAAAACTGGTCCACCAAGGCTTTGAGACTCCATTATCAGCTGTAGTATTACTTATTTAATTTGCTAGTGCTTATCGGAGTGAGGGGTATAATGACAGGTACAAAACAACCTTCCACTCACGCGTTTAAATCAGAACTCCATATTCTTCGGCGTATGCTCTTTGGCATTGTGGTTGAGGAGAAACATTTTGTTTTGCCTCTCAGGTCTTTTCTGTTGGATAGTTTCATTCATTCTATTCGACTAAGCCATATAAAAACCCTTACTGAATGCCTTGTTTTTCTCAAGCATTTCCCTATACAAAAAACTCTTCCAGTTCCGCCAGATGCGTGTCATCATCTCCTTGGGATGACCCTGGATGTATTTTCTGGAATTATTTATTGTTCTTCTGCTTTATATCAAGGTGAAGATACTTCTTGTGGTGCTGGGTAACAATTCGCAGAAACATGCGATTATGGCTTCTTGTTACTTGGTGCCGGGCGGAAGTTGGAAGATGATCAGAAACCGTGTCTTTCAGTGATGATTACTCAGTCCATGAAACACCCATTCTCCTAATTTTTTTTAACCAATCTGTTAGATCTAAGGTGCTTATCGACAGTCATATAACTGAAGTTGATTTTATCACTCAATTCACGAATTCTTTGAAAATGCTTTCAGTGGGTCTTCATCGATCTCAGATTGCCGACCGAAATGAACTGCATCTTCCAGTTCTAGTATGCTTTTTGAGTTTCGAAAACTGATTCGGAGCAGTTCTCTCAGTTATAGAATCCTCGCTGTATACGTCAGAAATATCCCGTGTTACTTCAACAGCTGTTTGAACCCGACTAAGGGCGACTTAGGGTTTGTGGGAGATATACTTTTTCACTTGGACCCTTTATTTTCGGGGTTTGGCCTGGAGATGAAATTCCGTTCACTGCGTAATGAAATAACAAATGACTTCGAAAAGAAAAGAATACTTTTAGATCATATACAGAAGTAAAGAAACAGTAAAGAAATGATAGAACAAACTGGAAGTAGCCATGTTCCAATCTATCATTAAAAACTTGTATTAAAAACGACCTTTTTGAGTCACCACAAGAGCATGTTACTTCCACTTGATTCGGGTATGTCTGGCCATACAAAAGCAGTGCCCCTAACAACAATCTTTAGCATATCGTTAAGTAACTTTCAAGCTTCGTAAACTATTTCTGTTTATTAGATGATACTCGAGCTCCTAATCGTCATGGATAAGAGTTATAGAAATAAGAGTGTCAGCCGTTTGTCAAGGCCGTTTTATCACCCTTTCAGGAATTTTTATCGTTTTTTTTAATACACTTAATAAACTTCTTGTTTTTTTTGTTGACATAACTATTTTAAGCATTTCCCATGTCCTTTTTTTTACGGAACGGTATGAATACCTTTGAGAGTCCTGGATTCACCTTGGTACCATTGGCGGCTCCACACGTGGAGCATTTATCCCGCTTATTTTATGTGAAGGAATCATTTCACAAGAAAGCTACACAATATGAAGTAAATTTCCTAGTCTTATCAATAAACTAAGGAAATAACATCTTGTTGTTTTTCGTATGCCCCGTTATTCTTTAACGGGTGTGCATTGTCATCGAAACCGTTATCTAAAATCCTTGCGATCACTTTATATATTGTTAATTATATAGTAATTATTCACAAATAACTGCTATATAGTTGGCAATGTATTTCCTGTAGTTAATGCCAGTTCTTCTAGTTAGAATATGTGCACGAATTTTAGTATTGACATGCGACTTGGAAATGTTGATAAGAACATATATCAAAAATTTACGCAAACATTTTATATAATTATAGAAAATCAGGAACCTGGACGCCCTTGTTTTTTACTTGAATTTTGTAAAATTTAACGAACAACAGTTCAAACACATAATGCAGCAAGTACGAGTAAAATGACTTTTTTTCTAACCATGGAGCATTATGACAATAAATACGAGTTGTACATTCTCATGCACTTGTGCCTTTATTACCTTATCAGCTGAGCTGCGTCTTCGAATGTAAACCGGGAAATTATAGTCACATGACTTTGTGCTTACAAGACATAACATAATTCGATAAGAAGAAATTACTATGTTCAGAATCAACATAAAACAAATGCTCGAAAAAATCCTCTAGTAAATACCTAGTATTTTATTTAAAGTAATTTAAATATTCCCACGACTCCGCCAGTGGGTTCAAAATCCGCTGAAGCTTATACCTGTTGCCGATGACACTGGTAAATGTCTTGCGGAATTGTCCATCTGCCTTATCCTAGGAATTCTTGTTCACTCATATTCACAAAGAGGTTGTATTGAAATACTATTGCATATACGACTGTCTCGTAATCATACCATGCAAGACAACTGTACACAGGACACAATTTCAACAAATCTAGCAGGAATCTACATATTTAATATTGAAATTACATTTTTTTCTGTTACTGAAGCCCGGAAACTCGTTCATGTTGCCAAACACACAGCTGAACCGAAGTAGCATTAATCAACGCTTTGAACCTAAACCGCCATGTGCTTTTAAGTTTAATGGATACGCGCGTTGTCACTGCACTATCACAGGGACAGAACTAAGATATTAACGTTTCCGCTAAAGGACTAATGAAATGAGTTTCTGCAATCAAGGAAATTAGACTCATTAAACGCTTCAATCGATTTACAAATACTTATAGCATTTATTCATTTGTTACATGCGTAATTGCACACCTGTTAATATAACTATTTTTTTCTGAGATTATCTGTGTAGACTGCACTACTACTCCGTTTTTTCAAATAGGGAAGCCTTTTCGGTTCCTTCGTAGGTTCTTTTGAGCTCTATTGCGTAATTCAGCTTCTCTCGTTCAAATCTTCGCACTGACCACATATATCTGAAATTAATTGATTGGATGAGATGGATGACGATATGGATCGCTAGATATCTGCTGCCCTTCTGGTGCCAACACTAAAATCTGTTTTTTTTTTTTTCGCAAAAGATCGATTCGGAAGCCTTACTTTGGACTCAACACTTCCTATTACTGATGTATGGTACAAAACATGAAGCTGATAGAGTTTCAACTATCTATCGATAATTTGCTTACATTGTCAAACTACTCGTAACGATCGCCCTATTACTCACCTGCAGTAAAACCACTCAGTTAATCCTATACCCGTAAATGATAATACGGCAACGTGGGTCGACCATTTCGTGTTGCCTGCAAAAAACATAATTTCTGATTCGATAAAACAGATTTATAACATTATCTACTAAAACTCTCCATATACTTAGTTTCGGTTATACTCCATGAACCTCAGCACTGTTACCAGTACTGTCAACTCACTTTTGTATCCTTATTGACAGACTCACAAGTTCAATGACTTATGTAGAAGACCACTTTCGGTTAAACTTACTAGTAAACATGAAGTGAAGGATTCCGAGTCCTAAACCACCACCGATGCCTCGAAGGAAGCACTGCTTAGCACATGGGATATCCTTTAGGCGGCGACCAAAGACCGTTGGTCCACTATCCTTCTTATCATCGACGATCTCCTGAAAAAAATTGGGTAAACCAGCAGTAAACGTTCATACTGCAGCAATGAACTAGAAACGGTAAAAATATTTTCACATAACCAATTATAGTACTTTAGAGGAAAAATTAAATTCAAGTAGCCTTGTTTTTGACTAGTTACCAGCAGCAAAGTGTAATACTATCTGAAATCCAGTCGTGCATATAAACACACTTCAAGAGCTTGCCGTAAACGAATTGTAACTAAAATCTTTACCCCACACTAGTGCCTCACTTTCATGTTAATTTTGTAAGACTTTAAATACGTACTTAGCAGTACTCCGCCTCGATGCGTCGAAGAGAGCACCAAATGTTTCTTAGGCTCATGCGTGCCTCAAGCAAACTTCTCGCCAATTCGCCTAACGACCCAGATTCCTTATTGACGAAAGCCGTGAACCTTCTTTCTTTTACTCAACATTATGTCTTAACTTATTTAAATAATTCATCATTATATTATTAATTAACCATCCAAATTTAACAAATTTAAACACAATTATGCTCTTTATCGGTTCGTCTTTTTCTGAACTCAGTAGGAACTTATATTTCGTTGTGTTAGTTCTACTTACTCGACTCTCTTCTTTCACCCCCTTTATTTCACTAAATTCCATTTCATTTGTTTTTGTTAACAATTTACCAGCTATACGTTTATAATATCACGGAAGGAAAAATGACGTAATAGTCTTTTCGAGCGCGAGCTCCCGAGTTCAAGAACGGTTTAGTGTCGGATGTTTGCTCCGTTACCGTGTAATGTTTTATGCTGTCTTCGTGACCAACAACGACGCTAATAGTTCTTCTAGATCCTATATTGAGTCCAACTCGTGTCGCTCCAACGATGGCGATATCGTTTATGTAGTTCCTATGCATTTAGTCTACACTACTCTTGTTTTCCACATTTCTCAAGAGTTACTATAAAGAGTACACAATTGTTTATTCCATCTGAACTATAAGCACAGAAAGGGTCCATCCTCCTGATTAGGTTTAAAAAGAGCAAACGATTTATTTGAACTCAAAAGCTTTTCAAAAGTTCTCTTTTTCTTATTAATGATTTTTACAATGATTAGACAAATTCTATTCGATATTTTAGTCAAGTACAGCGGAATTAAACACTTACAGCCATTGCTGATAAATAGTTACGAGAAACTAACTAAAACAACATCTATCACATATGATAATTAATCACGCCAAAATTTTAGACTTTTTCCTTCAACTAGTGATTTAACAAACTACTAAAAAAAGAACACTTTTGATTCTAATAAAATAAATATACACATTTGAAGCGTGCTACACCTAGTCTCATATTTACAGCCGTAGATGCAGACTAGCATGACACCTACACAGATACGTTCGTCCTCTTCAACACAAAGTCACGCTGTATCGTCTCATATATATTGCAGATAGCCTAATATGTGAAAGCTTTTCTTATTCAGTAAATAGGATTGCGGGAGTTAGATAATAGTCTTTCAAATATCGCCCACAACATGAAGTCTGAGCGAATTCGATGCGTTTCCGCGCGCGGACTAGTTGGATCCGCGCAAAATGTGCGGTCGTCTGCTAACGCCAGATCAGAAACAAACAGAGGGAGCGGGCCTATCGACACAGGGACGACACCTATCGAACCGGCCATAGCACTCACTGAGAGACATCGACTGACCGGCTCAAAAGGCGATAGGGAACTCTTGATTCATCGATATAGCAGCAATAGAGAAAAGTGTGTCGCTAAAATTGGACTTAGGATAATCGTAAAAAAAAGACATTCACTTTAGTATTGAGATACACGACAACAACGTAAGTCAAATACGTTGAAAATGAATCTACTAATAATAGTGAGGTCTTATAACACTTCGAGAAATGCATTTGTCATGTAATCCGATATTCTTGCTCCTCTTACCGTAATATATTCAGTTACTTCAAATATATATAAAATTGATTTCAAATATGATTCCCCTCAGGCAACCAGATTCATAGTTGCCGACATAGCGCGAATCGTGTAGTAAGTATTAAATTATCATGACGAACAATTTCGAAAAATAAAAACGTGTTTATTGAATTTTCACACGCACTAGTTACGTTGGATTAAGTTTCAAGCGACCATTTAAAGCACTGCAAACTTCTGTGTTACTTAAAATGGGGTAAACCTTTCAAGAAGACGCATTCGCAAGCGATCGGTTGAATAGATTTTGGGTTTCTCGTCTGCAGGCCTGATTGTGTGGCCTTTCTAAAATTGCATCCTAATTCATCAAATTAATCGAGTTATATTAATAGCTCACCATATATACTGCTAGAAGCAACTGTTATCTCTATCCCCAGGAGGATCCGGTACCACATACATATTTTTATCACATTTAATTAGCACTCTATTTTTGTGGTAAAGTTTGTGAGATAAAATTTTTTATCATACTTTCATTTTTTTTAAATTATGATGTTTTTATTCCATGACTGTTCGTCTTGGACATTCATGATTGTTACGCAATAAGTATACAATTTCATTTTTTCGAACCAGTTTATGTTGAGATTTGATGAGGATTTAATCCAGATGAAACCTAATGAATAACGAACACAATGAACAATCTAACGGATATGCAATGATTCTGTCATGGCCTGCCAATAATAACTGAGTGGGTAATGCTGGGCTCCGCTGAGAGTGATAGGCATTTTAGATCGTTTATTATACTTCTCTGTAAAGCAAGTTTTCTTATAACTAAGCACCTTTATATAATATAGTTTAATAATATGAAATCATTAATGACATTTTTTTCAACTGGTGTTGCAGGCATATATAATTATGGCTATTCGCTGGTTAGGTTTGGAGTCGAACCCCGACGTTATGACAAAGTACATTCACTCTCTTGGAGCCTCGAAAGAGTGGTCTCTTGTAGACGTTTTCGGTTTGGATAACGAGCTTCTAGCGTTTATCCCTCAGCCAATCGCAGCGCTGCTGTTGCTGTTCCCACTTAATAGCGGTGCACCAGCCAGTGGTGGCGGAACAGAAGTTGAAGCTTCAGAGTCAAAGGTATTCTTCATGAAGCAAACAATCCAAAACGCTTGTGGAACAATAGGACTGCTCCATGCGCTTGCCAACTCAAAGGTAACGTGTACGATTCAGATTAATAGAAGATTCGAATTTCTTTCTAGGCCAAATTAAATTAAAGAAATTCTTTTGTCCTGATTCTTTCATGGAATATAGAGATTTAAGATGTAGCTATTTTTACTTCAGGTGCATCTATATGGGATTAGGTACGAATCAGCAACGACATATGATGTAGAGTTACTTTTTCCTAGTCTTCTGCCGACTTAGTTGTCGTTGTTGTAGGAAACGCCTGTGGTAGGCTGCTTCAGCTCATGTGGCACGTAAGATGCATTTGGAAAGAATGATTTGACTAATCAAGCTTACCTTTACACAGGTTCCGGTAGTTGAGGGGAGCCCGCTGGATGTTTTTCTAAAAGCAGGCAAGGACAAATCTCCTGAAGGGAAGGCCAAACTACTCGAAGATAACTCGGATATCAAAGAGGTAAATTTTAAATCTTCCTATGAGATGGTGATCCCAATCATGGTTTAAACATATACTAGTGGGCTATTATTAGTTTTGATATTTCGACGCCCGTCGCATCAGCTATGTAAGTGCGACACGGTCGGCGTAACTAAAAAATGATAAGATGTGGCCCCGGTAGGTCGTTTAAAACATAACGATTTGTTAGCCAATTAAGCTGGTTCAAGCAAGCGCTATTTAGGAGAAATCTAGGAATTTGGAGTATGAACTAAGAACTTGTCCTGAATAGCGCAAAAACTGAAGCACGCAAGTTTCGCCTGCATCAGTTATAACAATGTACATCTTTGTAATTCTGATATTTGCTGTAGCATTATACAGCCGTTTTTCAATGCGTACTAAAATTCACCGATACCATGTAAAAATCTGACAGATTCATGAGAATTTCGCACATCAAGGTCAGACGGCGACACCGAATATAGATGACAAACTCGACCTGCATTTCGTTGCTATCGTTCTCGCCGATGGTTATGTTTACGAACTTGACGGACGGAAGTCGGGTCCAATTCAACATGGTTTGTCGTCAGAGGCAACATTTTTGAAAGACGCAGCTGACGTATGTAAAAAGTACATAACGTCAACGCCTGATGTGCTCAACTTCTCTGTAGCAGCGTTGGTTAAGCAGTAAACAATTCGTGAATACCAAATCCTGTAACTGTCTTCAACACATGTCGATCCAGATATGCCGAAGTCGTTAAATATGAGTTTTTTGAAAAGGTCTTTATATGATAAGAGGCCCGCTTTTTATCTATGCCTGAAGCAGGTATATTATAATGTATGGATGTAATGTAAACAGTCGGATATCTACCAATGTCAATTTATTTATCATAAGTATTTGTATTCATAAATAAATATACAAACTTTAGGAAAGCCCGTGCTTTTATTTAGGTTTCACTTGTTTTTGATTCTAAATAGCTGACTACTTATGCAGTGACATAGAAATGCAAAGTTCTAACGGTAATAAATGTCATATTATGAGAAAAACTAGTGGTCTGCTCCGAGAACACTGGCAAATAATATAAAGTTTTTTTTGTATAACAGCCGTGCTTTGAAGTGGTCGATTATTAAAGACGTACTATCTCGGACACCACAATGCTAGAGTGTAACTGTATTACTGAAAAAATAATAATCGCGTTCTTTATTTCTCTTCAAATGTGCTGCATAAACGTGTATTTTCCTAGTGGATAGATTGTTAATTATAATGGTTATTTGCGTGTGTTCAATCAGATTAGAAGGATTTAACTAAGCAACTCATTTGGAGCACTAAATGGAATCTATCGGAGATTATTAAGTGGTCAAGGAGTTTTAACGGAAAATATAGAGTTTTATATTACAGATAAGCCGTTTTGTTGAAAAAGTAATACATCAAGTTGAATGGAAACTACCAGGACCAACGAATAAAAATCTTCTGATTTTGCTTGCGCTGAGTGTAGCGTAAGATGGTTAAGTTTAATTATTCACCGCCTTTTTGAAGAATATTGAATTGTATACGTGCAATACCGAGAATCATTCGTATCTGAAATCTGTACGAAAATTTTTGACTTCTATAGCAGCTTGTGGGAAAATGCACGAGTGCCATATAAAAACAGGAAGAACTTTTTCCAATTTAGACTAACCATTGTCCGAGTCATTATCACAAAGCGAAAGCCTATGGAAGAACTACTGGTACCTATTTATACTTTTGAATATACGTACACCTTTTCTATCTTCTGGAGTTTCAGTTAGCAAGTAGCATGCCACATTGTAGATGTTGCTGTAGATTATCTTTTCTTGTTAACCATTCACCGTCGGCCGGCGTAGATACGATGTGACGTCTGACGCCGAGCATCAATCGGATTATTAATAAGACGTTGCGCAGTATAACGTTACCAGGCCATCAATGAAAAAAACAAGACACACCGTGCTTGATTTGCTTCACCTATCACTTTTAATTGTAATGGCAGCCGGTTCTTGCAAATAGCCGTCAACACGAAAATATGGGAACATCCTTGAATATCAGATTTGGTTAACCGCGTATAAAATAATACGTACAAAATAAAAGAGAATTTATAAGATTTAAAACCAAACTCGGCTAACTCGTCTATTTGTCGGACCAATATTCGAAGCAAAAGTACTGGAAAAAATAAGAGAACATTAAGCCATCACCGTCTAGTTGGAGTAGCGTAGCAAAATGCACGGGAATGACTTATACACATTTCATATGTGTTTTTGTACTCAGATAACCCAATTACCTATGCTGAGAGTGAGTCACATTATTCACTAAAGCTTTACTATTTTAACTTGCCAATATGAAAATAATAGTTTTTGGAATTGGAAACAGTTTCCAAAACTGAAGAGATGATGCGGTCTATATCTGGAAAAGTTGCGTTTAGATGGCAAAAAAGCATATTGTATTAAAAAAAGAATTTCTTTTTTAGTTCTTTAAAGACTGCAGAATTATTTTTGTAAAAGCCCGTGCAAACTCGTACAACAGTACAGGGTAACCAAAATATGTAGTTCCTCTAGTATAGACTAACTCAGCAAGTTCTAATTTACACAATATTACGGTACAGCTTTCTAACTAACTTTAGTCACTCTGCCTCGCATACGTTCACCACTAATGTTGTATCAGTCGACAAAAAATCGTAAATTGTTTTATTTTGTGATAGTTTGCGTTGTGCAGTTTGCAGACGGTGCGGCTCGAATATAAACTTGATATTCGATTTTAACGAACGTAGCTACAAGCCGCTCAATAGCGCCTATTTTCACTCGCACCCACAATCTAAAGTTCCCTCTTGAATATGGCGCGATCGTTTCACGGCTGCATCAGCCATCTAGTGCCGCGCAAACCTCTTGACTCTTTTGACCGGCCGGTGGTTGGCTGGCTGTCTGTGTGCGTGTGTGTATGCTCGATGTGTCGTGGAGCCTGCTTATCTATCTGATATCTATCAGACAACAAAGCCAGTCGTCGTTTCCAGGGGAGTGTGTCAAATAGATGGACATTACATTTTGACATATTTATTAGTGAGGTTGTCACAAGAAAGCAGGGAAAATACAAAAATGGCTGGTCTGATTCGATGTTCAGTCCTGCGCGCGGTTACACGCCAGTTTGGCACAAGCTCTCGGGTGGCATCGGCTCAGATGACTGTCCGAGATGCTCTCAACGCAGCTATAGACGAGGAGATGGAGCGTGATGACAAGGTACGATATCATACCTCTATTATTGATAGATGGGGCTATGGAAAACAAATGAATTTATCATATGTCCGAATTACAGCGAATATATGAAAATGTTATCCTGTTTCTGTTATGGAGGGCTTATTTTTGCGAATAGATAGTGCGGGCTCGAATTGTGTTTGATAATTTCATGGGTTGCTTTGGGCCAGAAAATTTTAAGTTTCTGAAACTTTAGCTGGCGAGTAACCCTTAGATGGATAAAAATGGCAAAGAGTATAAAACTGTCTGTAGAGAGTAGTTGAATTGTCTTCATTATCCATCATTTGAGGTGTTTTCCTTGTAGTTGCATTGTCAAAGTTGTCTGCTGTCGATCGACTCAATGGAATTTACTAAGAATTGAAGTACAATAGAAACGATAATTGTAAACAGTTGAGAAATATAAAATATTGAACACTGTCTTTAATCTATTAGGGTTTTCTTATAGTTGAAGCCAAAAAATGAGTATTGTATCTCAATGCTAGTTGTAAACCTAACTCTTTGCACCGAAACCCTAGCGGTCTAGAATAGGAAAGCCTAATAAATAAAAGCTACTATTTGTAATTTAATAAATAGAAGACAATTAGAAAACAGCTTGACTCAAAAAAAAGACCACAAGGAAGTCTGGGCACTAGTCTGGATAACTAAAAGGTAATACGATCAATACTACTAAATGAATGAACTTTATTGACAGTCTATTAACTCAGCAGAGAATACAAATCACGTTTGGCCATTGAAGCTTCCCCTTAATAAACGTTCATTCAAACGAAAGTTGATCCATTTGCACTAATTTTTCTTATCTTATAATATACTAATCCTTATTATAATTGTAAATATTAAAAAAAAAAAGTGGGATACTTGACTGTTATAAATGACAAGCCTGAACAGCCTAGCCCGTACCCAATATTTAGCTCTGAAAATTGATATATCCGTTGTAGGGGAACAAGGCAAACGAAGATACAAGTTGCCTGTGTTAGTTTTCACAATACTCACCTCCTAACGGATTTTTTTAACATTTAGTAAAAAAAAAAAAAGGTTTGCCGTTACTACAGCTTCTTCGTGAGCTTTGCCCGACGCTGTTTTTTTTGATAGTAAATATATTTCATTCTGCCTTTTTAAAGGTAGAATAGCGTCGAATGGCGATCAGTGTTACCTATTAGCTTATTCCACAATGTAGTTTAAAGTATTTATGTAACACATTTGTTCACGCAACAGAATTTTTATTATTAATATTATTAGCAAAGATATTCATTTATTTATTTAATAATATACCAGCATGGACCATGGTCGTGATCGCTTTGGTGCGGCGACGCAGCCGTGTTGTTAAACGTAAATGGAAGATGAAAAGGAAGTTGCTGATCTGAATTTAGAACCAATCAAGTGAACATCACAGTGCATGGAAAACAACGAAAAACAACGAACTTTGCCCTTTAGGGGCAAGTAACAGTAAATCTTCGTACAATACGCTTGAAACCGCCTTGAAAAGATCAGCCGAGTCCATATAGTTTAAGGAAGCTGTTTTAGTTAGATAGACCCGCTTTCCAATGCTTCTAGTAGTAGACAGAAATTAGTAATTTCTATCTAAATTTAATTTCGACTCTAATCGCTACATTTACCAAACAGCAATATGAGACTGCGTCGCCATTTGTCTTATATTCCGACTGAAAGATTCTATGCAATAGTTGAAAAATATCACTCACCAAAATACATAAGCCTAGATATGGCCTTCTCTCTTCTTCTTCTATCAAAAAGTAACTAAATACCAAGAGATCTAATTTTTCGTACTAGCATCGTGTGCAATTTTATCATTTCAGGTATTCATACTTGGTGAAGAGGTCGCAATGTATGATGGAGCATACAAGGTGTGTACTGAATGTTTTTATTCGTGCTTTAGTTACAGTTGGAAAACTATATTGCGAGGATAATCAAAAAAATATGCTTTAGCGTTTGAAAAAAATTTAACTTTCTACGTTCCACAACGTAGGTGTCTCGTGGATTATGGAAGAAATATGGAGACCGACGTGTAATCGACACTCCTATCACTGAAATCGGCTTTGGCGGAATGGCTGTGGGCGCAGCTTTCGTCGGACTAAGGCCCATTTGCGAATTTATGACGTTTAACTTTTCTATGCAGGTTAGAAGTGAGGAACATTCGGGCAATTAATATGAAATTCTAGATTTGTTTCGATCCTTCGATGTTATACAAAGTACGAAATCTAGTGCATACGTCAAATAATCTTGATACGACACAATTAGTTGGCTACTAGCAATCGGGTGTTAAATATTTCTCTCGAACAGTGCGCGGTCTGCCACGCAATGTGGTATATGGATGCGTTACGGCTAGGCAATAGTTGAAGGCACGTTTACTGAGAAGCCATACAGAGCCTGTAGTAAAGGTTATATTTGCTGTTTGATTTATTTGCACGTTTCGTTGTAGGCCATCGATCATATCATTAATTCAGCAGCGAAGACTTACTATATGAGCGCAGGATTAGTCGCCGTACCCATCGTGTTTCGGGGTCCTAATGGGGCAGCTGTAGGTGTCGCTGCTCAGCACTCGCAGTGTTTCGCCGCATGGTACGGGCAATGTCCTGGTCTCAAAGTGCTATCGCCATACAGCAGCGAGGATGCAAAGGGTCTCCTCAAGGTAGGCTCGTTTGTTTAAAAAGAATAAATCAATGAAAACGCTAAATGTTAAGGATATTCACTGTACGTTTTTCCCTTGCCTAACGGTAAACGTACGCTTTTGGTGTGCATTTTCTATCACAAGTTTTCCACACGATAAGTGATTTGCATTATTATAACCCTTTTAAACTTCATAAAGAACATGTTAATGACGAGTACTGCTTGTTGACAATTATTTTGATCTATTTGTCTAGTATCCCGCACTTTGAAGTTCTTTGCCAGGACAGAACAACAATTTAATAACGTTTTCTAAGTTTGAAATCGAATAACACTGCGTTAATAGTAAGTTCAACGCTATGGAATAAGCACTAAACACTTGTTATGGATAACAAGTTATCAAAAAAACTTTTGCGTTAATCATAAATGTGAAAAGCCGAAATAATAAAGCAATCAAGTTATATTTTCATTTCCAAGCGGTACACCTTATCATAGCTTTTATGATTCCTCTAGACATTGTCATTTATCATCGAATTTCAGGCGGCTATCCGTGACAATGATCCGGTGGTCTTTCTGGAAAATGAGCTTTTGTATGGAGTGGCGTTCGACATGTCAAGCGAAGCCATGTCTAAAGATTTTGTTGTACCCATTGGAAAAGTACGTATTACAAAAAAAGAAGCGACGTTAAAAATAGTTCAAGCGCTTTTTGATCAAGTTCGTTTTATTTTATTGACAATTTCTTTGTCGCGAGTGTTGCATGGAAATCTACATAGTGGAAAGGAAATTCTCAGCGATAGCTTTAAAGGTTTAATATATATAGAAAATTTAAAGTTCAGATTAATTAAAGTGTATTGCGCCAGCGTTGACTTAAATGTAATATAGTGATGTCGATTTGGAAGAATTGCTACGTTGTAGTGTAATCGTTCTTACCCTTTTCTAATTAGTGTGTCAGCACTTCAAGCCATCGCTAACTATATAATGTCTTATTTCTTTATTATGTTTACGTAGGTAATGAACAATCAAATGAATAATCAAAATGTTTTAGAATTAAAATAATACCTGGTATATTCATATATGATTATATTCCATGTCCCCTAATCTCCTATTTTAAAGCACCAAGCATGCATTTATAAAATATTTTGTTTTTTTGAAACCTACATATATTTATGTCGGCCCATGTTAATATATTGCATACCTATTATGTGAATTAGATCGAACGTCAGCATGTAACTTTTTTCAGGCGAAGATCGAGCGCACAGGCAATGCTGTAACATTAGTTGCTCATTCAAAACCCGTTGGAACGTGTCTTGAGGCTGCCAACGAGCTCGCAAGCGTAAGTTGCTAAACGATATCAACTATTAAACTCATTTGTTCCAACATTTTACCGATATCATTGAAATTTAGCAACAAATATTTACTTGGACCCCAGCCAGATTATGACCTAAATAATTGTCTAGGTATCCTAGTCCTACTACTTTGTCCTCTGCATGCTTTTTAGCCGACCTCCAGCCTTTCTTTCACTTTGAACAGTCTCTGAAGTCTTGTTGGATGCTACGAGAGAAGCCGTGGAAAACACGCGTTTGATCCTATAGGCATGCAACCCCCAAATGTGGGTCTGTCCATTAGCATAGTTACTATATCCTTTGATGTAATTCCCCACTCTGGGGGTATTTTTTCTTGTAACAAAATCGCCCTGAAACAGTGTTTTTATGTCCAGTAGTTATGTTCTAGAGTTCACGATGCCATAAAGTAGTGTTATCGCTTATATCTAACAGTATGAGAATGGGTTGCGCACGTGAGCGCTATGGATTGTGGTCATTGAGGAAAACGTTGCTAGCTGTTAAATTGTAATTTGTATATATTGCCACAGTCATGAATAGACAAATAACACCTGATTATTAACTGATTACTTTATGGTTCATTTAGGCTGGTATCGACTGCGAAGTGATCAATCTTCGATCGATTCGACCGTTGGACTTCGTGACGATTGCGCAGTCCGTAATGAAGACACATCGGTGTGTAACTGTCGAGGGTGGATGGTCCTTCTCCGGAGTCGGAGCTGAAATTAGTGCTAGGTTAATAGAGGGTCCGGTTTTCGACTACTTGGATGCCCCAGTGATTAGGTTCGTTTTCACTTACTTTTTTTTATTTTAAAAATGTTTAAAAGATGTAGTAACCTTGAACACATGCTTCTTTAATATACAATGAATATTGGGCATACATGGCTCTGTGTTCTTGGTTTATTTATCTTGTATTTTAAAGATGAAATCTGGAGTTTTATGTCCAGTATTGCATTGCTTCTGAACTATTTTAATGGTTTAATAACTATAGTTTATTGGGCCAAGTCAAACCTAGATTACAAGGTTTAACTGAAAGGATAACCATCACAGGGACATTTATTATGTATCAGTATGCATAATGTTAATTTCGCTCGTCTGTTTCGTGCGCGCTATTAAAGGCTTACGGGTGCTGATGTTCCGATGCCATATACAGCAAGTCTGGAGGTCAGGGCTTTGCCTCAAAAAGATGATATAGTTCGGGCAGTCAAGACGATGCTCAACGTGCAATAGAGAATGATGAATGGTGCACTGATATCGTGGTTTCCTCTATGGCTGTTAGGCTCATTTTCTAAAATGAAGTCGTAATTCAGGTGATGCAGTATCATGTTGAAGTGTGCAGCTTATCATCATCACGAAATATGTAAGTCAATTAGTATAAATTACGGATAAAGTACAGTATAAATTTCCAATTTATTTGCGCGAATTAGACATACCGCAATCATGGCCAATTTATCGCGTTCCGATTGAACATAATTGGGTACGGACTGTCATAATCCGGAAAAACATGTTGGGTGACTGAGAGATTGTGAAATGAAACTGGGCGTTAAGCTACACCAAACTGCGTTTAGGGTATAGGAATGTAATAAATAGAATAATTGACGAAACAGCGTTAATGACATTGATGCTTTGTAGTGCAACTTATTGCCGCCGAACCAGTTTTATAATTAGGACTTTTTAGCCGAGTTCAATCTAAGAATTTGAAGGAAGTTAACAAGTTTTGCAGACGGCGGGTCCTAAGTACTTTTATTGAACATCTGTCTCAGTGTGTACTTTAAGACTCGGGTTCTACCAACTGTAAATTAAATACTTTGCTGCTGCACTTTACAAAAACAACTTGGAAGTTTTAAGTTTAATCTTTTCTCGTTTGAGGATAGATATTATAGAAAGAATAGTAAGTCATTGGGGCGTCATAGTGAATGCAGTCATAACCTTCAAGCGAGATTAGCAATTGAGTAAATCAATATGGAAGGAAAATAATGTAAATAATTATCGACACTCAATAAAAAAGTGGTTGTTTTTTATATGCACATATTGTTGTAATTTGTTGAATATATAGGAAATTGCCAACTTTCGAGAAACGTGAGAAGACTTCTGATAAGAAGTGTTTTACAAATTTAGCTTTGTAACAACTGTATTGGTTCAACACTAATGCGGATAGGCTTTAAAACTGGTTCCATCAGTCAACTCCTCTAAGCAGATTTTAGCGTCAGCGTACCCGGAAGTACAACTGATATGCGTTGCCAACTCACTTTTGCGAATCTGAGGTTGTCTTATGAATAATATACGTGTCATTAAAGCAAAATATTTGGATGATTTTACTGAAAAACTAATATTATTCCCTATTACTCCCGTACAGCCTATGCATATATCTTCAGTTTCCCATGTATGTGCAAAAGAAATGCATGTAAAACGCGATTTTGATATTATTTGATATATTTCTGTTACTTTTAGCGGCATCAGGCAGACTTTACATTAATGATGGTTCTTCACATTGACTACACGTAATTTGTCACAATACAACAAACATCTACGTTCCAATCAAAAATAAAAAAAAAAAAAAAAAAATCAAAAATAAAAAAAGAGAGCGCTGCACACTTTGATACCTGAGATTGAGAACAGATGTTTACCGTATCGCGTGCAAAGTTAGTTATCTTTCAAACAGCATATTTATAGACAGAACTATATTCCTAGCAAACTACAGTAATTCGATTTTTAAGCATTGTAAAGGACTGTTCACCTTATAATTCGTCTTTCGAGTATTAGTCGCACTTGGCCCTAAATCGTTATGCGCCTGTTTAACACTTGAATCTATAGACGCTTCTCGCATATCTATTCCTACAATTTCCGATCAAAATAACCGAAAAGTTAGTATTATAGTAAATCAACGTAATTTTCGATGACATAAGGTTCAATGGCAATCGATGACGTCCCATCGCACCAACCATCGCAGCCGAGGCCTAAAAAAAAACAACATGAGAACGTGACAATTCTCATGTGTTTTTCGCTCAGAACTACACGATTTAGAGAACGAGCCGTTTCGGACACGTTATAACTATGTTATCTTCTAACTAGTCATAACTATACACGAAGTCCATTATGTCAAACATTTTCTCTAGATAGGGTGTCATGGCATGAACATTTTTTTGATGTAATATATGGCGATCGGTCTCAGCCAGCTTACATGCAAGTATTGTTATAAAGGCAATCAAATTAGAACATTGCAGGGATATTGTTAGTAATAATTAATCCCTCAGTAGTCTGCCAACGAAAACGCTCTAATGTTGATGCACTCCTATGGTGAAGGGCATTTTTAATGCGCAGTTATGATCATAACGATGGCAACTCAAAAATCAGTCAAAAGTCTAATATATCACAAATATTATTGGTACTATTATATGCTTCTTAAAAGCTGTATCGTTGTAAATAATGATAAATATCATTTACAATGATATGTGTATATTTACACTCAAATATCATTTACAATGATATCTGTATATTTACACTCAATGTTATAGCCATAGCAGTTGGTAAGAATTTACGTGTTATATGATAGGGGCATTAACAGTCGTGACTAAAACTATTAAAATGATCAGTGAAGAGTAGTTTCGACCCGACGGTCGCTAGCTGCGTTTTTAGATCGATGGTACCTCCCAGCGTGTACTGCATCCTGTTAGAAGACATTTTTTGGTTTGCATAGCCAAATCATAATATCATCGACGTTTCGTAAATATTTCGCTCTGTTCTACCAAGAATCGTCGAAGATATATCTGATTTCAGTCTCGAAAAACATTCATAGCGACCTGCCTGCACTTTGAAGGTTTGAGTTGGAATTACTTGGCGAATGAACATTTTATGCATCTCGATGGACAAACTCCATTCTTTTTAATCAAAATCACTTTCTTTCGCTATACATATATCTACGGCAATGGGAATAATTGTTGTCATAACATTGATTGTGGTCCAGTCAGGTTTCATCGACAAGTTAAGCGATTTTCGAAAACATAAGATTTTTTGCGGCTTTACTTAATAAAACGCAATATTTATTGCGGTCGCAACGGGCGTATTCGCTGTCATACATGCATACATCAGACTGAGTCTGATATGAAAGGCTTGTCGGTGTTCGTTTCTGTATCCAAAGAAGCGACTTTTAGGTTACTCCAACTTCTGCCATCATAGACGAGTTTCTCTGACGCCATTAAACATCATTTCTATAATAGCAATGATAAACACTGAAATTTCGTGATCGCGCTATGGATAAACTTGAGACGTATCTCATTGATAATTTCAACCCGATTCTCCAAGCTGGATCCTCGGAGGTGGCTAGACTTGCAAAGGACGTCCCTTGCAGAACGATTAAAACCCTTTTGTGCCATTCCAAATCGGATTTGGCACTATTCCCGGTTGAACTGCATTTTTTTTGGTGGACTGCATGGTTAAGTCACGTACAAGGGCTTACGTCAAAGTGGTTAAACTGGTGTTCATACTGAAGAAGCTAGTCTTCTCGGATTCGACTGCTTACCTGAAGAAAAAGTTGTGAAGTGTTAGGTATAGCTGATTCTTCACGCTATACGTACCGGTAAGTTCCGAAGGCCAATGGTTGTAGAAACATAAGTTCTTCTAATAATAAAGGTATTCATACTGTCTAGACTATTTTTGTACTGCTAAAGTCCATTTGTACTGACCTGATGTCTGATGCACCAATAACTATGCGAATCCCCTACAAACCAAAGCATATTTGTTGTCCACAGGCGACAGCCGCCTGGAAATTCTCTTAAAAATAACAATAAGGCGTTGATAGCTCGATTAATTAAGCCCCTACACGACAACAGATTTATTAGGTCTCACCTGGTGTCAACGTTGATTTTGTTTTAGTTATGTCTGTCAAGTGATTCTTGGATTGTTTCAGCCTCTTTAAACTGATGCAGCTTTAAAATCTATATGTTTGTAAAGTTTATTATTAGTGTATCGCATATGAATATTGTGAGATACGAATTTAAGGAAACTTGTAAATGATTCCAATATCGTTGCCAGGCATCGTCGTTGTTGTTGTCGCCTAATGACAGGAATTATGAAAAGAACAGATAAAATCAATGTTTTAATAAGTTTTTAAATTGAGACCAGGAAAGTCTAAATATTAGAAAGATATATGGTTGAGCTTCCACTTGATTATCATGTTTTGAACATTCCAATCGTTTGCAATAAAAGGGTAATATAGTTACGCTTTAAATTCAGCTATCACACTATCTCAATATTAAATTTATTCCCGTAACATCTGATACATTTACCGTTGTCAGTTACATAATGGAACTGTAATATACAACGTGTTATTGAAAAGGATAGTGGCAGTTTGTTTACAGATAAGCATCTTTTCTGACCCCCTAAAGAAATGATGGCAGGTATTTACTCAGAATCTCCGTTAGTCAAATGTGAGAGCAATAATTAAACTCCAAAACAGTGAATGACAAGTGTGATGACACTAGCGATGAGCGTGCATCATTCTTTCGTCACCACATAATTCCAGTGCCACGATCGCACACTTTTATAGATAAAGCTGTCAGACCTAGTTTTAAAATAGCTTAATAGTAGCGGTAATAAATCATGACCCCTTTGGGCGCTTATGTCGACAATGGTTGAGAATTTGTAAATCATCTCACCATAAAAATCATCTCACCAAAAAAAGATTTTTCAAGCCCTGTACAGTAGATATTAATGCTGATTTTTGGAAGAGTCCGAATCTCAGATTTTTGCAGAGAGTTACATAGGTCTATTCTGAGTCCAGCGGTAGAATAGGTGAAACTGTGTAACTTCTATAAAGAGAGGAATCGTAAAAGCTAACGGCATATGGGTGAATTGCAATGGAAAGGCATTTGACTAAGGTTAATAGGACAACTACAGAAGCGTAACAAGTGTACTAGAGCATGTTAATTGATTATCTAGATCCGACCGATAACAAACCCTAAGCAAGGTGAAGAAATTATTAGAAGTACGCAATTGCATTGCTAAAACATTGTAACAGCATAAATAATAGCAGCCAGACGTCTCATAGAACAACCAGGCCGGTAAACTGTGTAAGGAAAATACCTACTAACACTCAATAGACGCGGCACATTACAGACTACTCAAGTTGAATTTCCTAATCGCAACAAAATGGGAAGGACAACAATGACCTAACAGGACAGCCGTCTCTAGCATAATCCCGGAAGCCGATTTAGACTTGTTTTAAGTTACACATTGATGAACGATTGCATAGGCGGTGAAAAGTCAGAGTAGATGGGCGTTCAATGCTGCTAGTAGTGGGCCGATCTGCGACACAAGTCAAATGGAGACAGCTACTCAGACCCGATGTAATAGTCGACAAGGTCTATATCTACGGCAGCTATTATTACTAGCAACGTATGGGGGTCGAGTAGATCCAGTAGAGGACGGAATGGCACTAGTAATAACCGGTTGTGACCGATAGCCTTCATTTCCTTTTCTGCTTCTACCAAAGTATAGTATTAACATACAGTAGAAAATGTAGGGGACGTACTTTTGTTTCACTAACCCCAATCTTCCGATTGGGTGAGCATTACTACGTTGAGTAAAGATGGGACTAACAGAGGATCAATCCTGCGACCCATTCACACATTATTTATACATATTTATTACAGTTCAACTGGTTGGAGCTTTTCGTTGTGCTTAGCGTTTTCAATTATTTTATTTCCACGTAGAATTCGTGCATACACCGCCACGACTACTCCTTGTTCACATATTTTCTTACCAGCGAATCGCGGTATATTTTCCAGCGAATCACGACCATCCCTGTATCCCGATCGCCTATTCAACATCATGAAATAGACAGCAGTCATTGAAAAAATCAACTTCGACGAACTTAGTGCCTACTACGCAAACATTTGCCTCCCGTGGAAATTTGAGTGCAAGAAATTAGACTTGCTATGGAACGTTGGCGAGCATTCTGTTCCCTGTTTATGTTTCAGCAAGTTACTTTCGTTTATAAAGCGCCAGCGAACAAAACCAGATGAGCAAA